TAAAAAATGGTTATATATATATATGAAAAAAAAAAAAAAAAGGCACCCATTCCCTAAGCCCTCAGGGTCTCTAGAGCTGTGGTTCTGAACCAGTTGGGGTTTTGTCTGGGGGAGCATAAGTTGACTTGACGGCACATAACAACAACAGAAGTCCCTCTGGGAAACTGAGGTGAGTTGTGCCTCCTCCCCAGAAAAATGTATACAACCTGGTGGCCAAGTTCAAGGGGCTCGTGAGCTCCTACAGCCTGTATCAGGATCCGTGGATTGGCCTGGGGGGTCCCTGAGCAAGGGAAGGAGCGGCCTGAGCAGAGGAGAGCTCTGGAGAAGAAGGGGGAGTCCATGGGCACAGAATGTCTACTGCATGCAGCGAATGTACGGATGTGCACAAACATGCACACGTGTACACACATGTAAATGCATGCCCACACAGCACATACACAGGCACGTGCGCACATACACACAGCACACGCATATCACACTGGGCAAATGCACACATAAGTATGCACTCATATCCACGTGCACGTGCACATGTACACCTAGGTCCATACGAACACACAGACATGTGTGCACAAAGGCAAATCCAGCAGGATACATGGCCACAGAAATGTCTGTCCTTGCACATGGGTTCATACCTCAGACATAGGGCTGTGTGCCTTCACACACATGCATACACCAACACATACATACACTCAGACAGGCCCTGTCTCATGGCACAAACAGGCCAAAGCAGGCCCAAAGAGACACACAATCACAGTCAGTCCTCTGTCCACCCAGAGGCTCTTTCTACAGCCCAGACCTAACATTGCCACCACCCGGCATGGAGCCCACACCCCACCGCTCTCCCTGCCAGCCCAGTCCTGCCTGTTCTCCCCTCTTCCACCTTCCTGCCCTCCTCCTGAACCTCAGGACTTTTGCACACAAGGTTCCCTCTACCTGGAAAGCCCCTTCCCCTGATCCACCAAATTCCTATCCATCCTTTGGGTCTCAGTTCTCTGTAAGGCCCAGGTGCTCCATGTGCCCCACAGATACCCCGAGTGTCTTCCTCAGCCCATGGCATTGGTGGGAGGGTGTGGCGGGGACCGGGCCTGTCTGGGGCTCAGCCCTCAGGAGATGGTTGAGGGAGAACAGAAAGGAGCCAGCCGGGGGTTTCCAGGGGTGGGGCAGCCCCTGGAATCCCGGCCTCTATTGCTAGTGCCCCTGGGGGCTTCCTTTTCTGGGGTGTGATCAGCGGTGAGCTGCTTAGAAGCCCCTTGAGGCAGGCCACTTCTGGTGGGATGGGCAAGGGCCAGGGCTGGAGGACGCAGGGTGCTCCTCTGGGTGGCCACTGTCGCTCGCTCTGCCCCCTGGGGTCCCCAAGCCCTCAGGGAGATGGGAAAACAGGCCAGATGAGCTCAGCATGGCACTGGCTACCCCTGCTGGGCTCCCCCACCCACCTTCACCCCCTGCCACGAGGGGCCCAGGGGACTTTGTCTCTTCGGGGCCCAGGGCTGCGATCCGGAACAGTGATAGGGGCTAATTGCAGGAGGCAACCAAGCGGGCCAGAGGCCAAGGGCCGTTATGAAAAGGAGAGAAAAGAAAGGAGGTGTGTGAGTGGGGGTGGGGAGGTGAGAACCAGAGCCCTACACTGGAGTTGACATTCTAGTCCTGGCTGGGATGTTTCCTAACTCGGCGACCTTGGACAAGGCCCTGACCCTCTCTGGGCCGTACTGAGTCCATCTGCGAACAGGAACAGCAGAACTATCTCCCACCAGGGTGGTTTACTGGAAAGCGCTTGGCGTAATGCTAGCAGCTATTGTTCATTCTGGTTCCTGGTCTGCAGAGCCACAGCCAAGACAAAGGCCTGGTTCCCTGGGGCTTAGGGACACCTGCAAGCTACCTTCCTCCCAAGTCCTCTCCTCAGCTGTGGGACAGAGAGTATTAGGCAGAGGGGTCCCTGAGTGGCATAAACAGTTAACATTCTTGGCTGGTAATCAAAAGGTTGGAGGTTCGAATCCATCCAGAGGCACCTTGCAAGAAAGGCCTAATGATCTGCTCCCCAAAAAATCACCCATTAAAACCCAATGGATGAACCCACACCTGTGGCTTCCAGCCAAACAAAAGATAGGCATATAAGCTGAACGTGTACCTGAGGAAAATACACTCCTTGGAGAGAACAATCATGGGAGAAAGAAGGGCTGCTTATGCGCAGGGAGACAGCTCAGGGGGCAGGAGTGCATGGAGGGATGGACACAGGGAAGAGGTAACTATGGGGAGGAAGTGAGAGGGGAGCTGTTGCATTGTGGTGTATTGTGCTCAATGTCATGAGACAAAGTGTATGTGAGCTGCTGTATGGAAAGTGAATTTGCTCTGTAAACTTTCACCCAAATCATAATTAAAAAAATAAATAAATAAAAAATAAAAAAAAAAATGGAAACTGCTGTATGAGAAAAGAATTTGCTCTGTAAACTTTCACCCAAATCACAATAAAAACTAAAAAAAAAGAAAACAAAACCAATGGAGTACTGTTTTACTCTACACACATGGAGTCAGTTTTCATATTATTTGGCTCTACAATCAACACCAATAGAAGCAGCAATCAAGAAATAAGATGATGTATTGCACTGGGCAAATCTTCTACAAAAGACGTCTTTAAAGTGCTGAAGAGCAAAGACGTCTTTTTGAAGACTAAGGTACCCCTAACCCAAGCCAAGGTGTTTTCAATCGCCTCATATGAATGTGAGAGCTGGACAATAAGTAAGGAAGACCAGAGAAGAGTTGCTTTTGAGTTGTAGTGCTGGTGAAGAATGCTGAAAGTACCACGGACTGCTAAAAGAAGTAACAGATCTGTCCTGGAAGAAGAAGTGCAGCCGGAATGCTCCTTGGAAGCAAGAATGGCTGGACTTGGTTTCACCTGTGTTGGTCATGTCCTCAGAAGGGACCATTCCCTGGAGAAGGATGTCATGCTTGGTAAAGTGGAGGGTCGACAAAAAGGGAAGACCTTCAATGAGATGTATTGACACAGTGGCTGTAACAATGGGCTCAGGTGTAGCAAGGATTGTGAGGCTGGCACAGGACTGGGCAGAGTGTCGTTCTGTTGCACACGGGGTCGCTATGTGTCAGAGCCAACTCAACGGACCTAACAACAGCATGGGGTCACCAGGAGTTGGAGTCATCAAATCAACAGGAATGGGTGGTGAGGGTGTGGGTACATTTTACAGAGAGGGAAACTGAGGCTATGAGGAGTCACCGGCCCAGGTTACTCAATGAGCACAGAGCTGGGATTGGAGCCCTGCAGGGGGGTGGTGGGGAAGACCCCATCCACCTTATCCATAGCCGCTCTCCTGGTCCTAGGATTGTCCAAAGGAAGCTGGCGCTGGACTGGGAAGAGGCCTCGGCCAGGATGCTGATGATGGCTTGAACCCTAGAGCCACAGCACTAAGACTGCCAGTTAGAGGAAACCAGTTCAGGCTGGGACAGACCTCGGAGGAGTAGGAAGCAGCCCCGCTGGGACTGCAGGAGCTGCAGGGCAGGAGTGAGCCAAGGTGGGAGCCCTGGTTCCGGGGGTCTCCAAGTCTCGCCACATTCCTGGGGCTGAGGGCGGCCCCTTGGATGCCTTCCCAGGCCTCCCCCTCCCCAGGCACAAAGCCTCCTTTCTGTCTCTGGTCCCTTGGCTGCCAAGGGGCGCCTGGGGCTCTGGGCTGGAGGTGGAGGGAGGGCTGATGGGGTGCGACATCCCCATGCTGTCTCCAACAACCTGGGACGGGGGCCATGAGGGAGGTACTGGTGGTGGAGGCTCACAGAGGACCCAGGTCGAGGTCCCTTCCCCCACTTAATGTTGCCAGTAGAGGAACCTCATGAGGGTTCCTGGGAGGCAGGCTTGGTGCTCAGAACAGGCTTGGGGAGTGCGATCAGCGTTCCCATTTTACAGAGAGGAAAACTCAGGCCTAGGGCTATGACATGACCCGCCTGAAGTCACACACTGAGGGGGCAACAGTGCCAGGAATAAAACCCTGTTGTGTCTGAGGCCAAGGAGCTCTGGTGGTATAGTGGATAAGGCATTTGGCTGCTAACCAGAAGGCCAGCAGTTCAAACCACCAGCTGCTCCGTGGAAGAAAAACAGGGTAACCTACTTCAATGGGGGTCAATATGAGTCAAAATTAATGGTATTGAATTTTTTCTTTTTTCGTTTTTTTGGTGTCTAGACCAGACCCCCTAACTCCTAACCACAGCCTGCAAACCTTTCTCTGAACCTTGCCTGGCCCCTCTTCCTCCTCCAAGAGGGCTACTCGGGTGAAAAGGACACTAGATATGGATTTGGAAACGGTTTTGTCTCTCTAGGCCTCAGTTTCCTTATCTGTAAGTGGGGACAACACCATTGTACACAGGGCTCCTATGATGCTCAGCTCACTGCGACAGCCTCCTGACAGCAGAAGGGTGATGGTCTCCAGTGATCACCAGGCCCCACGTCCGGCTACCCCCTCCCACCCAGGAAATACTGGGGGGCAAGGAGGCCAGGCGGGGATGCCCTGCCCTGCACTGAGTGGAGGGGAGTCAGGCCTTAAGCCCTCTTGCCCAGCATCCGAGCCAGATGCTGGGAATTCCAAGTTTGAATTAGAACTCTGTTGTCTTAGCATCTGGGATCCAGGGCTCACCCCCATGCCTTGGGCATGTCATATCCCCTCTCTGAGCATCAACCTCCTCCTCTGTGACAAACCCATCCACTGGCATTTTGTCAATTTCGACTCATAACAGCTCCTATTGGGTTTCCAAGGCTGTAAATCTTTACGGAAGTAGATTGCCTCATCTTCCTCCCATGGAGTAGCTGGTGGGTTTGAACCTCCAACCTTTGGATTAGCAGCCTTATCCACTACACCAGCAGAGCTCCTTTCTAAAAATACATGCCCATATGACAGGCATTTGACTGCTAACCAGAAGGCTGGTGGTTTAAACCCACCAGCCACTCCTCGGAAGGAAGACTGGGCAATCTACCTCCGTAGACATACTGCCTCGGAAACCCAAGGAGGGGTCACCATGAGTCGTAACTGACTCCACCGCAGTGAGTTTGGTTTTTGGTATGGCAGTTAGGAAGATTGTGGAGGGGATGCCTATAGGTAAGAGTCCAGTCCAGGTCAGCCATGGTCAGCACACAGTAGGGGACAACTGTGACATCTGCCACTTGTCCATCCCTGCCTTGGCCAACTGCTCTTCTGGCCTCTGATGCCTAGGCCACCTCCGCCCTTGTCACCTGCTCCTGCTAGGCTGGCAGGGAGGTGGGGGGAGGGCGGATGCTGGCCCCTGATCACTGGGAAAAGGGAATTTCTGAAAAGCATTGAAGAATTGAGGCCGTGAGGGGTGGAGGCTGGGCAAGCCTTTGAATAGGATGAAAAAGCTTGGAGAGGCCTGGCCGGTAGCATTGTCCGCTCCGGACAACCGCAGCCCTAGAGAGCGGAGCGCGGCAGGGGCGGGGGGCTGCAGCCAGGACTGGGGCAGGGCCCATTCTGAGCAGTCATTAAGGTCTGAAAGACTCTTCTTAGAATCCCAGGTCTTCCATCAAATTGCCAGTCAGCCTAGAAGTCGTTTATTCTCTCTGGCCTCAGCTCGCACATCTGTTAAATGGGGACCACGTGTCCTACCCCATTCAGTCCTTGCAGGATTAATCCAAGATCCTGCCTCTAAGGGGCCAGCACAGAGCCGGTACTGGGGGACGCTGCCCACAGGCCAGACGGCATGTTCCCAGCTTCCAGGAGAGCGCAGGAAGGTTCTGTCTCTGTCCAAAATGCTAGGTCCCAGGGGACCCACAGTGACCCGCGGGTTCTGAGGCTCCACCCCAGCCCTTTCCTCAAAGGGAACTAAAAAGCCCGGGACTAAAAAAAGCCCAGCCGAAGGGGAGAAGGGGAGGGGGACTTCGAGGGGGTGCCCTGGGCCTTTCCCATGTGCAAGGGGAGGAGCCCTCAGGCCAGGACGAGGAAGTCTTGGGGGGCTTGCCCCTTGCGCCTCCTCTCTGGCTCTGAGGGGTGAAGCGGCAGAGAAGGGGTGAGGGAGGGTCACGCGGCTCAGGATACAGGAGGTGGCGAACCCCCGCACTCCCGGAGCCGGAGCCAGACAGCGGGCCGGCCCGTCGTCCTTGCCCCCACCCCTGGGTGGCCCCAAAGCTGAGCTCACCCCGAGGCTGGGGGGTGCGCGGAGTCCCGGCTGCGCAAAGGCACCGCGGTGGAGGGGTCCCAGCCTTTACCTGCGTCCGGAGAACGGGGCTCCCCCGACGCTCCACGCGGCGCTGCCCCCCGGGAGCAGGAGCCCGAGGCACAGCAGCGCCCAGGCC